ACAAACCAATTTCCAAGAGGGAAATTACAGCACGGTAGATGCCCAATCAACCTATCCCCAGGAAATGTACAGAGTAATAGCCAAACAGGCCCTGAAAGCCATGAAAAACCTTCTCACTACAGACCAAGATAGCAACCTGTCCTCCACAAAAGTGTTACAAGGTTGTACTGAACCAAATTCAAGATGCTTAGATCGGCTGCAATCTACTTTAAACAAGCAAGTTGAGTACAAATAAAGCCAGAGAGATGATGTATAAGCAATTGGCTTTTGAAAAGGTGAACACAGGCTGTAAAAGAGCTATGCAAGCCCTTCCTGAAAGGCAGAGCTACAGCATTGCTGAGCTGGTTCGACCCTACCAAAGAGTTGGCTCTGTGGAGCACCAGTCTACCCCTTTAACTGCAACCCTAAGCGCCCAGATAGGAGTACAAGAAGAGGCCAGACATAGAGTGAGTTGTATTAGATGTGATGACCCTGACCACTTTCAAAGAGATTGTCCTTGGAGACCCTTAGCAACAACATCCCACAAGTACCTAAACAGCAGGGAATGGGCTGAGTCATACCAAGGGTGCTGTGGGCGAGGCAGGGACCACGCCATGAGCATCACACTGCTTGCTGCTGTGCTGCTCGCCATCCTCTTCTTTGCCAACTGCTTTAATGAGCAAGAGAGGAAGCAGCTTGAGGCAAGCCACAATGTGCCAACAACCAGCCCCAAAAATACCCCTGTATTCTGCACCCCCAAGAAAGGTGAGAGGTGGAGAACACTGCAAATGTTAAGAGCAGTAAACGCAGTCATAGAGCCTACAGAAGCATCACAGCCTGGACTTGCCTCACCTGCTATGCTTCCAGCAAAGTGGCCACCACTAATCATTAACTTAGAAAACTGCCTTTTTGTCACCTTCCTACACCCTGAGAATGTGCCAAGGCTTGCCTTTTCCATCATGGTCTTAAACAAAGCACAGCCCATGCAAAGCTATTGCTGGGTTGTCCTTCTTCAGGGGATGCAAAATAGCCCAACGAAAAATCAAACAGCCATCATACACCATTATGCAGATGACATATTAATAACCACGGCCACAAAGAATGAACTGCCATTTACTCTTACTGCTCTAATCAAAGCTGTCCAAGATGCAGGGTTGCAGGTTCTCCAGAGAAAATCCAGCCATCGCAGCCCTGGACTTACCTTGGATGGAAAGTCACGCAGCAGGAAATTTCTCCACAGCCACTGCAGCTCGAGGTAAAAAACACTCTACATGAGTTGCAAAAACTTCTGGGAGCCATCAACTGGTTAAGGCCTGTTTTAGGCATAACCCCAGAGGGGCTATACCCTCTATTTGAGCTGCTAAAGGGGAACTCCAACCTAACGTCTAACAGGTCTCTGACAGCAGAGGCAAAGCAGGCATTAGACATTCGTGCCAAGGCAATAGAAGGCAGACATGGCAGAAGGAGAAATCCTGAACTGCAAATCTGCCTAGCCCTTGTTCCCAGCAGGTACCAGCCATTTGCAGTTTTGTTTCAGTGGGATCAGACTGAGAAAGACCCACTATAAATTTTAGAGTGGCTGTTTCTGCCCCACACACCACCTAAAACTGTGTGGACTACTAATGAAATGTTTGCCAAGCTTGTCATTAAAGGCAGAAGACAATTACAAGAACTGGACAGAGAGACCCTGCCGTCATCTACATCCCAGCTACAAAGAACAACTTCAATTGGATACCAGCTGAGGATGCAGGATTCCAGACTGCCTTGGCAGGCTTTGATGGTGACATCTCAATTCATCTCCCTAAACACAGGTTGTGGGCAGAAATTGGTAGTTTGCCTTTAAAGGCCACAACCAGATGCAAACATGAACCAGTGAAAGGCCTCAGGGCCTTCACACATGCATCTAGGAAGAACACAAAAAGCTGTAGTGACTTGGGTAAAATCCTGACACAGGACAATGGGAACGAGAGGTACAGACCATGAACCAAGGTTCTGTACAGGTTCTGGAACTGTCTGCCATTTGCATTGCCTTAGGGAAATTTTCTGAACAACCTATTGATATGTAACTGATTGCTGTTATACTGCAAAGTTAGTCTCCTGTCTCAAGAGTTTGTTTCTTCGAGATATTGTTAACCCTCACTTGTTTGAAATGCGTTCTGTATGGTTTCTTGTCAATCATATAAAGTTTGATTTCTATATAATGCACGCAAGGTCACACAGTGACATGCCAGGGCCAATAGCTGACGAGAACCGAGACTCTGACAAAGCAGCAATGTTGAACACCATACCTAGAGTCTTCGAGCAAGCGAAATTGTCTCATTCATTTTTCCATCAGAACGCACATTCTCTGAAGAGACAATTTCAGATAACACTCAATAAGGCTCAAGACATCATCATATCATGCCCAGACTGTCAGAAAATCACACCCAGGCCATCTCAGAAAAGTGTTAACCCCAGAGGGTTAATGGCAAATGAGATTTGGCAAACAGATATCACACAAATCTCCAAATTTGGCACATTAAAATATGTACATGTAGATACACATTCCCAATACATAACTGCCACAGCACACACAGGGGAAAAGGTCAAGAATGTGATAAGGCACTGGCTTAGTTGCTTAACAACCCTGAGTACCCCAAATCAAATAAAAACTGACAATAAAACAGCTTTACTTCCTATCAAATAGGGAAACTTCACACATCACAGGTATTCCACACTCCTCCTTCGGACAAGCAATTATTGAAAGGGCACATCACACACTGAAACACATATTAGATAAACAAAAAAAGGGGGGAATCTGTGTAGCCCGCAAGAATGTCTGTGGAAAGCCACGTATGTTTTCAATTTTTTAAATTGTGACAGCGCTGAAAGAAGCAGGTATGAAAGGCAGCACAAGCCTCAGGCTTTTACCTCTCCCAGACCACCAGTCATGGTAAGAGATTTGATTTCAGGGCAGTGGATGGGACCATTAAATCTCGTCACTTGGGGACGAGGCTATGCCTGTGTGCCTGCAGGAAAAGAGCTTAAATGGATTCCTTCCAGGTGTGTTAGACCCTACCTAGGTACACAACTACAGCAGCAAGAACCAGAGTAACTCAGAAGTTATAAAAGAGTTATGTTTACGCTTCAGGTTTACATTTAAGGATGACCAGTGCGGTAAAAAGCAGTCTGTAAAAAACCTATGAATGTGTGTGTGATGAATGGACGACGGCCGTCAGTGAATGAGAGTGTGAATGAATAAGAGAGTTGTTTGACTGGACAAGTGTATTGAAAACAAAACACCTCACAAAATAACACTACCTCCACCACATGGTCACTTTAGGAGAATTTAGTTTTGCTAAGCTTATCCTATTTCTTAAATAAAGCTGAACTCCCCAGTTATTTAGACTCTCAGATTAATACAGATTATAAGTATGCACAGTTGAGCTAGGACCCCTAGGTTAATAAAGTTATTTCTCCAAGTTGCACTACCCTTTGGGAATATAAGACAGTTTTATAAAGTTTACCATAGAGGTATAAGAGGCCAAAGCAAGCGATGTGCTGGGTCATTGCAAGCTTTGGTAGTTTACAATGTACTGTTCTGATTGTTTGCATTGTTGTTGTTGCACTGTTTTCGTGACCTTCTTAAATAATTGAGAAGGGGGTGATGTAGGAGACGTGTCCCAGGGGCAGGGGAATCAAGGGACATGAGCAGGGACAGACACCCCCATTGGTTAGAAGGTCACATGGTTTTAGGGGATAAAAGGGGGAGCAAAATTCAAATAAAGCCTCTTTGATTTCCACCTCACGAAGAGCGTACATCATTCTTTATCATATAAAGACCGCAATGTTACAATTGAGAACCATCAAAGACTGTAAACAACATTGCTAACTTTGCAGCATCAGCTCTGGGGTACTATACATTTAGAACAAACTTTAAACTGATTGTTAAAAACTAAGAGGTTTGTATGCAGAATGATGAGATCAACATTATGTAAGAGTTAACCATTTGCATGAAGTAAGCAACTAATGAGTAATTTTTAATTCAATAATGTTCAGTTTTACAGTGTAAAACTGACCTAATTTGTCAAACTTCTGAACTCTCTCATCACAGCCATCTCTGTTTCTCTCACTGACAGAAATGCTTTTAGTTACAACTTAGTCACTAGGAAGTGGTCCTTGCAAATATTAAAGCCAGCTTGATGAGAGATAGACTGAATCTCGAGAGAAGGAACTTACTAGTGGATGAGGGAGAGGAGAAGGTACTAAAAGAGTTTACTCCTTTGCTACAAGTACACAGTGCAAATCAAGGCAGCTCTGTGACATCACTTACTAAGCCTTCACCTTGCTTAGTGCAACCATGACAGCAATTGAACCTCTTTGACACTGCTTTTGATGTGGAAGCAAGGCACTTGGAGGCAGCATGATAAAATACAGACAAGGCCTTTAAGGAATTTGTTTCAGAGGGCAAGGAAGAATAGCAAATGAGAATGCACTTTAGGAACAAACAGTATAAATGAGAGCATTTGCACAACGGTCTTATACTGAATGAGAGCAAGAAGTAGAATTGAACTTCCTCAATAACCTCTGAGGGGAAATCCTCAAATGATGTTGACAAATACACATTTTTTTAAGTTCAAACCACACTTTCTTTCTGTGTTTCCATGCTATTAACCGGAAAAATCTATTGCAATAGAAATAATTAATCTTATTATAGAAAATATGTGTAAAAGCTACCATGTAAAATAAATACTCCTATTCACCCAAAACATAACACAGTACAAAACCAATGACTAGTCACTTGGAAAAAGTTGTCTGTCTCCCAGCACTACTATTCTAAGACATTTATTGATTCCTTATTAACTCCTGAGAAGACTATTAAGTCTTCCTAGTGCATCCATTCTCCCAGTCTGTATAAAAGATAAATCTTCACTGTACTGCTTGGAGTTTTTTCCTCTGAAACCTGACTGCAATTATGCATCACTGTCCTTGTACTAAATATTCTCTTCTTTAGTTTATTTCATGGGCAGAATCAATCCTACCTCACATTGTCATGCCTTTGAATGTAAATCTTGTGGAAAATCCTTTCAGGAGGCTTCAGGAAATCTTCCTTCATTTCCATTGCAACATTTCTGGGCAACAGACTCATCAAGAGACGTTCCTAAAAGAAAACATAAACAACATCACTTTTTTGGTATAGTGTGTGACCACTTTTCAAAAGGTTTAAACTATTTAGCTAGACAATCTTTTCCTAATCTAATCTGCTTCCTTAAAATTTCTGCTATATAAATAAGATGAGCCATTTCTCTCAAACTTCTGAAAACTGTGTGAATGTCTTTTTTAAAGTCTTCTGCACTAAAAAAGAAAATAAAATAAAAAAACTACACAGAAAGAGGCAGCTTCAAGAGCAGCTAATAGTCCATAATTTTCATTAACGTTACATTGCTAATAATAACAACTTACTTTATTGTTAGTAGCATTTATCTGTCTGGGAAAGACTCCCCAGGATTATTTGCTATGCTTTTGTGTGTCCTATTTCTTCCTGGATTTAATGAAAGTGTTACATTACAAGAACTATGACAGCTGGTTATTAAGTAGTGAGAGTGGATGATGGATTTATTCACTGTCTAATTCAGGAGAACAGTAATAGAGGTACAGTTTTAGCAGCATCTTATCCAGTGTGGCAATGTCTGTTCCAACCAGTTCAGGAATGAAATGCATCAGTACAAAACCCTAGTTAGAAACACATCTTCTTGCAATATTCACAGAGAAATTTTTTGCATGGGTCACTAACCTGCATAAAAAAGATCTCTAATGTTTTGGATCTTGTCAGTATTGACTATAAAGCCTTGTGTAGTTTTTTCCACAAAAGAATATGTGGAAAATTTGCCAGGTATCACCTGGCAAATCTGCATCTGTTGGTCTTAGGTGCTGTAAAGTATCCTTGGATACCTATTCAAGTTTTATTTTCACAAAGAAAATCCTTGCCATTTAAGACAAAATGTAGTATCCATCAGACCTGCTAGTTTCAGCCATGGCAACAGTCTGAAAGAATTCACATAACCACATCCAATCTGATTCAAGAATCCCAAGTTCCAGACAACAAAGGGAAAGGCTGGAGCAAGGAAGATGTACCCTTGGTGGAAGAGGATTAGGCCAGGAAGTAATTAAGCAAACTGGATAGAAGTAAGTCCATGGCCCCTGTCAGGATGCACCAGCAAGCACTGAGTGAACTGGCAGATGCCGTTCTAAGGCCATTCCTGATAGTCAACATGGTGACTGGGAGAATTGCTTGAAGACTGGAGGAAAGAAAATGTCACTTCTGTATTCAAGAAGGGCAATAAGGAGGACCCAGGGAACTACAGGCCAGTCAGTTTCACCTTGGGTACTGGAAAAGTAATGAAGGATCTCATCCTGGAGGCCAGGGTGGCTGGACCAGATGACTTCCAGAGTTCCCTCAACTATTCTATGATTCTGTTATCTGACAATCAAGAGCCACTATAATGGCAGCTGTGAGACATCACAGAATTGCATATTTTGGCCCAACCACATCCTTCTTTTATTCACATGATATTAAATAAGTAAGGAGCAACAATTAACACTGTGAAGAGGGTATCTGCACAGACAAATGCTTTGTATTGCTCACATGCACATGTTCACCAGTCAAAACCATTAAATAATACTCAAAATTTCTAATTTTACAGTTTCTTTTGGAAGAAGACACACGGAATATTTATAATTTAATATATTTAATAATATTTATTAAGTTAAACTTTACAGAACTGCCCTGATACTTACTGTAGACTAAAGTTCCTTCATATGTTTGTGGCAGCCACATTGTCTTGAGGCTAAGGATCAAGTGTGTTTCCTACCGTTCTTATATATATACTAAGAATATTGCAAAGAATAAGATGAAATTAAATATTTGTTAACAATATATGCTTATAGCAATTTCTGATTAACCAAAGCATCTCACATTTTAGTAGAAAATGGTATTTACTATAATTTTTATTTTAATTTATTAGGTATGCTTGTATTTCTGCAACAGAATTGTATTTGGGTAACCCAAAATTTGGATTAAAATCCCAACCAAATATTTTGTCAGCAGTGGATCTTGTGAAGCTCCGTTGCCCGCTACTTGTGTCTTACAGTTGATTTATAGTTTTAAGTGAAATATAACTGGGGTTTTAAAATGAGCTGACCACCTATCAGGCAACAGATAATCCATACAAGAGAGAAATTTGGACTGATGGTTAAATTCTCTGGTGCTTAAGATGGCATAAACCCGAAATGATGCTGGAATTTCATAAGTACTGTTCTGGATATGAAATTTACAATGTCTCATAAGGACTAAATATTCTCTGTCTCTTCTCCTTCAGTGAGCATATTAAACAAGATTTTTGCCATTTAAATTCCAAAACTGTTATGAAGATCAGGTTTTCAGCTTCTGTTTCCTAGAAAGTCAGACTTAATCAGACAAACAAGCAAACAAAAATTATACCAACAGACTCTTACAGAGACTAATGCTAACAGAATATCTCTTCTATGGCCTGCAAACACAATTTCAATACAAGATGAGAATGAAAAGATCATAGATAACTTCTGCAGTGCATGGCAAATAGCATGGAATCCAGGGAAGTAATAAGAATCATTACTGTGAAAGCAACATTGCAGAGCTGCAGGATGCAGCACTTGACAGATTTGAAATGCGCAGACGTCAGATGTATTAAGAGAGGCTACAAAAATGATGAATCCTATGCACGTTAGCTTGACAGTTATAAGACGTGGCGGGAGCATATGAAGATCCTTAATCAAATTGTGGTGGCTTGCTTTTTTCATTAGAGATGAGGGGAAAAAAAAAAAGATGGATTACTGAAAAAGAATTGTAGAGTCTTTACAAAGAGGGTTAGAAGCTTCAGACTCACCGAGCAAGGAAAGACTCAATTACGGCCTTCTCAAAGGCCAGCTGCTTCTGACCTTTCAAACCAAGAAGGGAAGCAGTATCTCGACTGTAAGGATTTGTCACTGAAGAGGAGACTGAAAAATGTGAGGAAGAACCCCACAATGGAAAATATCGAAGCATTGAAAATAAACAAAAGATAGCTTTTAGCTCACTGGAAAGAATATAAGAAAAGTCTCTTCTATTTGGGGCAAAATCTCATTTGTCGAGTAAAGTGGTATTGCACTTCAGGTCAGTCTAAGGAATGCTGAAGGACTTACAGTCTTGGAACAGCAAGAGTAAATTCATGTACACAAAATATAACTGTTGGAAGTTTTGGGAAAGGGTTCCACCTGGATCTCTATTCAGCAAGTCGTACCATTGTTGTCTGATTTTTTCATTTGCTCCCGTATGGCTATCTGATTACAAAAATAATCTGAAAACCAGAATAAAATGAAAACTAGATGTGCATGGCTGCATAGTGCATTGAATGAAACAGCTGACAAAACTAAAGCAAGACTGGTCATATTTGTGCAGGCATTTATGATTGAGTGGTTGTTGCCTCTGACAGGGGCAGTTGATGAAAGAAAAAAAATAGAAAAAGTGATGCAGGGAGCACTAATCAATTAGCAACAACTTTTACCAAAATAAAACAACGCTCATGTTGCAAAATTTCTTAATGGTGACAAATGATATTGTATTGAGGTGGCCCAAACATGTGACATATTCTTAAACATAGGTCTAGTAGAGACAAAAATGTTTTAACGTTTTTACCTTTCGCACTGATTCACAATGTTGTTTAGGATTATTATAGCTGTTTTCTACCCAGAAAATTAAATTTTGGCCCTATGACCAACTTACACTATTTTAGGTATTTGTACTCTTTTCTTCTCCTGCTGTAAATCTTCACTCATCATTAACATGGTCTAAAGTGAACATGCTGAAAAAAAAGATTCTTTTCTGAGATTGTAATTGTCAGTAAATGATTTTGCATTCCCTGCACAAATCTCACTATGAAAAGAAAATTATAGATGAGGACCTATATTTCCCTCATTCACAATGTTTTACATTCCTAGTCCTAGTCTGGGATTTTGAATGCCAAACTGGGCTGCCTCTGCCAATTGTCTCATCCTCATTAACGAGGATTTCTGCACTATTAATGAAGACATAGTTGTTTTTAAAAAGGACACTCAATCTAGAAAAACATCCAGATTTCTTTCTCCCACAGCAATGAAGCATCACTAGAAATTAGAGAAAGAACAAACATTCATTTTGATTCCAAGACATGTTAAAATGTGCCTACCAAGCCAATTAAGAACTGCTCAGTGCTACCTTGGCCCTAGTCAACAACGATCATGACAAAGAGGGAAAATACACAAAAGCAGAGAAATGGATTAAAAAAAAAAAAGCGTTCCCCATTGTTAATGGCCAAAAGACTCTATATTACTACTTGCTGTTTGGAACGTTCTCAAATCTAATTGTAAGTTCAAACTCCTGGACTGCCACTTTCACTCTGGGTTGGACCTGAGGGAAAATTTTAGTAATTATTCAAGACTTCACTAGACTAGACAAAGACAAAGCTGACCAGACCTGGTGTTGCTGGCAGTCCTGCTTTGAGGGAGTGATTGGACTGGATGATCTTCAGAGTTCCTCTCTGACTGTTGTGCACCAAGTGAGATAGCAGCAAAAGGATGAGGAGCGCAGGGTGCCTGCAGCCTCCTGGGAAGGCCTGAAGCCATCCTGCTAAAGATGGACAAGTGTGGCTTCTAAAATAGCAGGGGACTCAAGCACCCTCTAGCAGTTGTGCAATTTCTCTTTCCTGAGAGAGGAGCAGAAAGAAGCAAGCAGAGACTATTGAAGCAAAAAATTCCATCGTCTCCAGGCTCTATTCTGCCCCAACACTCTCTTCAGCTTTCTTCAGTTTGGACACTTCCCAGCACAACTCCCTCTCCTATCCCCATCTCTGGCCTAGACAGCCTCTCTCACAGGCACCCCAGCTCTGCTTTTGTGGGAGTCCCCAGTGCATGTTCCCAATATATTTCTTGTGCCCGTTTTCAAATGAAGATACTCATTCTCTTCCCATTTTGAAAATCATTCTCTTTCTTATTTTACTGCTGCTTCCAAATACTTATGACTTTCTCAAAGTCCTTTGAAATTTTCACCTTGATTTAGAATCATTTCATGCAGCTCCCCAAACAACACTATGCAGTTATTCCTACTGT